AGAGAGAGAGAGAGAGAGAGAGAGAGAGAGAGAGTCTTTAATTATTCAACAATCAGCCAACCTCAACCGAGGGGAAGTTCCGGACACGTTTTAGATTTTTGGGTTTGCGGAACGGGCTCAAGTCATTCGCGTTTCTTACTACATTCCTTTACGAATACGCTATTCCTTTTGTATTGCAGCTGCATTTTTAATAGTATTAGACTCAATTCCGAAGTAACATTCGAGAAAACGTCTTAAACGTCATGAACTTTGTATGAGACACTGGTGTATACACGATAAGCAATCAATAATTTTCCCTGCAAGCCGAAGATTGATTAGGATTTCATCGACCCTGTCTGTGGGAGAAGGATAATGTAAGAGTATCCGCGCATTCACGCCTCGCTGTGTAGATCCTAGCGACCATGAATAATAGTGTTTCTTTTATGTATTTACGAAAACCGCGCATTCGTAAGTAATGACGACAACAGTTCGACCTAGGTGCCGTAATGGTCTTCAGTTTATGTTCTATGATGATGACACATGTGGTTTAGCTAGAAAATAAGGGGTTCAGAGGGTGAAATGTACAGCAAGGTCGATATTCACAACTTGAAAATGATCATGACTTTACTCTTCCATTGGTAGAAATGCTTTGCCGTCTGTTACCTGACTCTAAAGGGCCTATTACACGACAGTGTGAATATTAGCTGAAATCGTAAGTTCGTCTCGAAGTTAGGCCTCACCCCCCGAAAAATCAGGCGATGCCTAAAGGTTGCTTCGGCCGACGTTCTGCCGCCTGCTGGCAAAAAGATGAAATAAACGGATCCAAAATAATGTCAGATTCGCAAACAGTGTATCAGAACTAGTTAATAAATGACTACCGAACGACTCATTCTTGCTGTATGTTAAATATCGCGTAAAAGTATAATTGTAAATTTTTAATGTGTACATAGTAGTCGCAATATTTCAAGTATGTCCGGGCGCATGGCATGATAATATGCATTGTGAAACAGAATATTTTTTGTGAGGGGTGCTGTACTTGAAATTGTTCATGCAGCTGTTACGGTCATGGCTTCATGGTGTATTGAATACATGAGTCAGCATCGTCGTGGTCAGATTTTCAATTTGCTAACGTTTTCCTGCACATCTGCGTGTATGTGTGCTCGTGTGATCCGACCTGCCTTCACTATGATCGTTGCAAGTACTAACAGCCGTGGGCGAAACCTATCAGTTCGAACTGATCGTGCAATATCCCTTTACTTAAAGTAAATCTCTACGAATCATGAGGTCATGGCCCTCTTGCAGGCTTTTTCGAATTTTGCTGTCTATTCTTAAGTGAAATCTTTTCAGTACAAATGCACTTTCATATTCAACGCTTCGAGGGTGCCGTAAACATTTGAGTCTGTGTTACGTGAGCATCGAAAACAGAAACTCCTGACCTCTCCAGTAACTCCAAGTTTGTATTCTTGTCTTGAATCCCCGGACATTTCAAAAGTGTATCGTCCCAAACCCGTTGGGCGCCTTTTCCTGTAGATATGCTGGTCTGTGGAAACAAAGATTGCCTTATGCTAGTCCCTACATTACAGAGCAACTTGTTACCCACATTGCTATAACGAACACTCGGATTCAACTAAATGAAAGGTCGGGCCCGAAAACCTCAAGGGGGTATTATGCGAACAGTTAGAACAGCTAGAACAGTTAGAAGTAACAGCTTTGGCCTCCGGTCAGCAAAAAGGCGAATCATAAAGCTGGCTTGTCTATGACCCTTATTACACGTGGATGATAGGAGCGCGCGTGCGCGTGCGCGTGCACACACACACACACACACACACACACACACACACACACACATACACACGCACAGACACATACACACACGCGCATACACACATACACACACACACACACACACACACACACACACACACACACACACACACACTCACATACACCATGCTCGTGCACGCGCGTTTGTGAAACCTTCTACTCAGGGAAAATTCCCACCATTCCGACGTAAATCATCTCCCATTCGCAAAATCCATATGGCGCAGTCTGACAATACCAGAACAGGCCCGTTTGCCAGCCCCCTGGAGGGGTCCATGTCTTTGTGCATAAAAAAATGAACGCAAGTTTTGGAAGGACCAGCGGTTTATAGAGAATGAAAGAGAGCAGGTGCAGGGCCGACAAATCACGTGCACCGTCTTAAAAATAGACAATTAGGCATATAATTCAACGAGTACACAGTGCAGCACAATTTATTTTTACACAATGACATGCTTAAGTCTCATGTTGCTCTTGGTGCCGATTGTGAGAAATTTCAGCAAAACTTAGTTCTTCTGATAATATCATAAGAGGATAGCCCTTTCTCTTTCCGAAGGATTTGAATGATTTGCTTTACAACTCAAACCTGAAAAATTACATGTTTATTAATGTTATACTTCAGGCACCAAGTAAAAAAACATGGTTCTTGTGCAATGGCAACTGGTGGTATTGGAAGGAGTGGCCACTCATATGAAATAGGTACAAGCAAAGCGATATCTTCCGCACATTGGAAATCAACGACTGGCAAAGACTTAAGTATAGAAATCTTTGTAAGAACTCTATGTTGCTGTTAAAGTATCGTTAACATGAATCTAATTCAAGCAGTCTATTGTCCATTGTGTACACAGCACAGAGACAGATAAGGCCGACAGGTTATGGTAGGACCGGCGGTCCACAGATAGAGAGAGAGAGAGAGAGAGAGAGAGAGAGAGAGAGAGATTTAGTCAAAAAACCGTGGCACAAGTTATCCTCAAACATCTCTATGGCACCCATACTTTGCACAGCAGTCTGTATTCATGTGTCTCAAAGTAATCGTATTTTCCCAAAACAATTGTGGCTAGATTTTTTAAAGCCTTTCTCCACAAATATAATATACAAAAAACTTTTTTTTTTAAGCCTTGCTTCAAAAATATAATACAAAAAATACTAACAAATGTCTGTCACGCTGAAAATGAGAGCACTTCCTGCTTTCCACACACATTTTGCATACGGATATTGCCTGTGTCAATGCTCACATATAGCGCTTTTTAGGGGCAAAGCTTAAAGAACACAACGTAGCCCTCAGCCAGAAAAAGTCGATTTTGGCGTCCAAAACCTTTATTTTTAATTTGGGAGGGGGGGGGGGGGCTATTTTAGTCCATAAACATCTACTCTGTCTATTAGAAACATTTCCAAGTGTCCAAAACATCTATAAGACGCTGACAATTTGCCTAAAAATTAGTAAATTTCGCGAGAATTAAAGTACCTCGATAAAAACAAATAGGCACTTTTAACCCCCCCTCCCCCTTACTCTATCACGCACGTCGTAGAGCCCAAAGTGATGCGTACCGTTGTAACCGTCAGTATTTTGCGTATTCACTCATACCTGCTTGACGCTGCTGTTAAGAAAACCAATTCTTATACAGGGCTAAACACTCTCTATGTGCGGATGACAAATTCTCGCATTTTGTTGGGTATTACCAGAGAGGTGGTATTACCTTGCTTATAATGCATGATACTCCCACAGTTTACCTTGACAACTTGCAACGGAAATTGCAAGCTAGTTTTTTTGTGAACACAGTTTTCAAATGTGTTACAAGTGGTGTTTTCTTGAAATACCTGCGATTTCAACCCGACTGTGAATATTACAGTAGTCAACTCATTAATTATTATTGATTATTGTGGATTTTGTGCTTGAAGCCTATCCTGCAACCAGACTATTTGTTAGACACAAAGGAACGATCGACCGTGCTGCTTCACTTTCCGTTTCACTTTCGCCTACAAATCGCTCACATTTACTAGACTTATTTTAGGTTATGGGAATGGAGGTTTTTAGATGTAAGTCCAAGATCTGGGCCTTCGGGCAGCAGATGTGTCTGACAAGTTTTGTTAATGATAGTGTAAGTACTCCTAGTTTGATTCTTCTCAAACCCAGACACTCGTTTCGTAAATGCATATTTTGAGCTGTAGCAACCTCTGCTCAAATTTTGTGGTGGTGGTGTAATCAAAAGCAGTTTCTTTTCGATTGTTCTCAATCCTGGAGACTTCATAAATGAAAGCAGTTTCAGTCTCGTTAGATATTTCTCAAACCCAGACACTCATTTCGTAAATACGTGTTTTCAGCTACTCTTATGCATTTGGGCAGCAGGAGCATCTACCTAAAACTTTATAATGCAAACTTTTGAGAAAGGGGTTTCCGTCCTGTTGGTGATTATTCTCAAACAAAGACCTTTACTTCATAACTGCCCGTTTTGAGCTAGAATCATGCTCTCATGCCGCTGGATGGTCAACCCAAGAATTTAAATTTTGAAATGCCAATTGCAATCAGTACAAGCTAACACGACTTTTTTAAAATTGATCACAGGTGACACTTGTTTGAACAATGACTTTGAAACAGTAAGCTTAAAGAAATTGTTCAACTTCTAAAAATACAGGCAGGGGCAGACGGCAAGGACTCCTGCCACTACCGCTGTCTAGTTCCTAGTCTGGGTAGACTGCAGCTCTGATCAACATGCCAGCTTGTGACTTTGCATCCAGTAGCTGAAAAATTTTCTAGTGCTAGTGTGAGCACTCGAAGTGGTTTCTGTCCCATTTTACTATTTTTAAACCCAGGCACTCGTTTCATAAATGCACGTTTTGAGGTAAAAATTATGCTTTTGTGCAACATTCGCGTCCTACCAAATGTCATTATGCTAATGCACACGAAGGCAGTTTCCATTTCATTGTTCTTAACCCCAGGCACTTCATAATTGCACTTCTTGAGCTAAAATTATACCTTCAGGCAGCGGGAGCGTCTGTCAAAATTGTATAATGCCAGTGTTCTCGAAAGGGGTTTCCGTCCTGTTGGTGATTGTTCTCAATCGCAGAAAAATGTTCTGATGTTAGTGATTCTGTCCCATTTAAATTTTCTCAAAAATAGACACATCTTTCATAAATGCATGTTTTGTGTTAGAATTATGCCTTCGGGCAGCGGGAGCGTCTGCCCAAAATTATATTATGCCACTGTACTCGAAAGTAGTTTTCGTTTAATTGTTTTCAAACCCAGGCACTTCATAATTAAATGTTATGAACTAAAATTATGCCTTCTGACACAGGAAGCGTTTGCGCAAAATTTCATTAAGTGAGTGTACTCGAAAGGGATTCCATCCTGTTGACAACTGATCTCAGACCAAGACACTCACTTTATAACTGCACGTTTTGAGCTAGAATTATGCCCCAGGTCAGCCGGAACGTCTACCCAAAATTTTGAAATGCCAATTGCAATTAGTTACGAGACTTTTATTATTGTTTTCACAGGTGTAACTTGTTTGACGACGGAAAATCGCCCTTTGAAGCTTGAGGGTACAAGAAATCATTCGAATGCTAAAAGGACAGGCAGACGCAAGACGGCAAGGACTCCTCTACCACCACTGTAGTCTAGTTCCTGTGCAGACTGCAGCTCCGATCCACACGCACGAAGTGACAGTGCTTCGGTGACTACCCCACCAGTTGCTAAAAACACGCCAGCTTTCCCACCAGCACAAGCAACACCGCTTCACAAATAAAGCCGGACAAGAACAATTTTATTACAATACCCATAGGAAATCATAATGAAAACTTTACAACACTGTGCTCGCATAAGACACCTGCAAATCTATTTCACAATGTGGTGCGTGGTGATTGCAAAGACCTTGACACAAGACAATGTGCCAGTGTCCTGTTTACTGACATTGATAGATAATGGTGGTCCCTCATACGAACCTGGGGCTGGGGTCACTGGTTTTTCTTGAAGTGCCATTTTTGTGAATAGAAAGTGAGGATGATTGGATGCAGCACATTTGTAAGGTAAACGATTTTATTTTAATTTAGGTGTTTTACACCACTTTTACGTCCTGGACACAAATTAGATCAATTTGGTGGGTCTCTCGCCCTGCCTGTTAGGGTCAACCCTGCATGAGAGAGGAGTAACACTTCAGCAAAAAGACATATCTCTGTACTGGAAAAAAAAATTCCCACTCAGAAATCGAATTCGGGTCTAACAAGTGTGACACTGAAGTTCCTAAATGCTACACTATAGTACTGGTGTAAACAATGCTCATTTCAATTTTTTTTCGTTTGTGTTTTATAGTACTAAGTATATAAAATATTCCAGGGCGCTACTGCGTATATCCTATATAATATTCCAGCGCATTTTGGTATAAAAATCTAATTTATACCCATTCCCTGGATTATCAGCTTGTTTTGTTTGTTTGTTTGTCAGTTTGTTTGTCTGTTTGTCGTTGTTTATTTTATATTTCGAGGGTGGTATTGGGGGTTTTAGTCGATGATACTTTTTTCCAAATTCACGCTGTTTTACTTTAATTTATTAAATACACATTCCAGATGTATTAATGAATAATATACACATATGCCCTGTTTTAGAACTTAATGTTGAAATACACCAGTATGGATTCATTTAAAAAAAACAAATTTTCTCAAAACTATGATTTTCGTTTAGGGGTGGGTTACCTGCGCTGGTATATTTCTGAAAGTACATATCACAGCTCAATCTCACTTTGCATGACTGTTTCTAGATAATAGTTGTATGTCAGAAACATACAAAAATATTATTGTGATATATTTTCTGTGAGTGCAAAAATGATTGATGTTATCAATAAAATTTGTAATGAATAGTTTGTCCAATTATCGTTAATGACACTAAAGAGGCAGTTATAAGAGAAGTATGAGACTATATGGCTCTTTTCGTCTATGCAGACGGCCATGAGACTAAGGAAAAACAAATTAATCTTAGCACGTTGCAGGGTGTACATTCAGAAAGACTGTGTGAAAATGTCATAGCTGTTTCGATCAAATTAATCACAATCTCCGAGAAGAGTGTGCGCTCATTTTGGTTTGTTGAACCCTTTTCAACTCAAGGATTCAGGAAATCGTCAGTGGAATCATGTGAATCACATTATACTTTACTAGCTGGGCCCTCTTTCGATGAAAGGAATGATCGGTGCTCTAACATCAACTGAAAGTCATTGGCCTACTATATTTACACTCTACTACATGTAGAAGGGATCGGTAAATCTTGAGAAAGGAAAAAACAAAAATTAAAAGGTCTAGATCTATGCCCTCAAAACAAAATGCGCCTTGTGTAATAACACTTCCGGCTCTTCCGCTCTTAAGGACCGCTACGCAGATTTTTTTCATTGCCTACATTTTCATTGCCTACATTTTCATTGCCTACATTTTCACACAGTCATTGGCCTACTATATTTACACTCTACTACATGTAGAAGGGAGCAATAAATCTTGAGAGATGAAAAAAATTAGAAGGTCTAGATCTATGCCCTCAAAACAAAATGCACCTTGCGTAATAACACTTCTGGCACTTCCGCTGTTAAGGACCGCTACGCAGATTTCTTTCATTTCTCAGTGGAATAAACATAAATTTCAAAGAAGGACGAGAACTTTTTGTCAAATATATTTTTCTAAATTCAGGAAATGAAAAAATAAAAAATCGGGCTCAGTCATGGGGACTTATCTATCTTTACCGCGTTATAATTGCGACGTCAGGGAGGATCCTACTGGAAGGGTTTTTAGTAAAACTGGAAAGAGTACAATCTGGGATGATCATTTGTAAAATACACTGAGAAAAAGGGGGGGGGGGCATGGCACTTTTGGCTCTCATATAGCACCATCACTGGTCGTCTGTCTCTCTTGTGCAATAGCCTCGAGGCATCAAGGTAAAAAGTGATCGATTGAGTCGAATCGATTTCGACAATAGGATCTCTTACAACATACGCCACCTGCACATTAGTAGTGACAAATTCTTACAACAACAATAATACGGGAAAGTGCATTGTTAATTACTTTGAGGTATCATGTGGGCGACCCTGATTCAAATCCTCAGAAGGGATGATTCTTCGCCTTCAAAGTCCCCACTTACTCCTGCTGGTCTTTTTTTAGATTGATGTAAATATTCGAAGAACCCAGCTCTAACACAACTTTTCAATGTTAATCGGGGTATAAATAAGCAATGTATTGGATTACTGTCATCTGTAACAATGAAGAAACTCACCCGCTACAATCCAAACAATGACGGCAAATCTACGAAGTGACGTAATCATCTCGAAGACAGCGGCTTTACCAACGCAGGGAGTCTGAGCCGTAGCTGAAAGGGGAAGGCTCAATAGTACAACAGCAACCTTGTCCTCGATAAGGACAAGCTGGCGACGATCTTTAGTGCTTACATTGGATCAGAGATCACCAGCCATCCAAACTGACTGGCCTAAAACGACGTACAACTGATTACAAGCTCGGAATTCAGCAGTGTTTGTGTTGATTTCAATTGGAATTAAGTATCTTTGCTTCTACGAAAAAAATTGTCACCATCACAGCATAGTTGTGTTCTTTTTCAAAGTCACTTTACGAATGTGTGTTAGGTGAACAGTATCTTCATAACATCCTAATTACTGCAGTGAGGTACCTGGATAAGTGCGGCAAAAGAATTCAGGCCGGACTACTTAGCAGAAAGTATTGTGGTGTCAAGACGTGCATCATCCAGCATTTTGAAGCTATCACAATGGTGTTTCCAGGAAATACACAACACCTGTTGAAAAAATAAGAACATCATGATCTCGGACAACAAAAGTACAGCCCTTATTATAGATAACGAGTTCCAAATGAAGTGAAGTATGGGTGGGAGAGAGAGACCTGGGACAATGACTGCTTCAACAAAACGTTGTAAACTGAAATACAGGGTGATCCAAAGAAAAAAACAACTTTGCTATTTTTTTCCTTCTAAATATCTAGCACAAAATTTGTACACTAATTTGAAATAGATAAAATTCATTCAAAAAGAATTTGTTTGTCATGAAATTCATACTAAAGAAACTTATTTCCGAAAACGGAAAGGTACCATTCTAAAAGATCTTGAGAGGAAAATAATGAGATAATTGGTTTGTTTTTCCCGTTTCTTTTCTTTTCAGAATTTAAGTTTTTCCATCCCTAAAATATTTAAACAATATTTCTTTTCTCTTACAGAGTTTCAAAATATTCTAAGAACTCTGGAAAATTTACCTTTTATTTTTCCTGTTAGCACTTTTCTCGAGAAAGTATAACAGAGTTTCCCCGTTGCCTACTGCCGGGATGTGTACATGTTTCTCTTTTAGCCTTTGCCATCCAGTGACAACCATCAAGAATGTGAAGGCTTTAGTAGGATTTATGGCGCCTCCAGTGGCCAAAAGGGTCTCTTTTGAGGTATTTATTTGAGGTTTTCATTGAAACACCAGTGTTACCAGGGTTCTACTTTACTCTCCTTGACAATCTCCCATTTGGATCGCAATTGCTTAGCAGCAAATCTCCATATCACGAAGGCATTCAATTTGCCACCACCGTTTAGTACCTCCCATGTATAAGATATCCGATGCTTATTACATAACCTAGAGTCATATTAATATGCTTAGATGGATATATGCCCGTCAACCCTCAGCGTTGTTCCCAGTCTCATCGGAAAAAAGTCCAATGTCCAATTTTTCACTACAAATAAAAGAGGCCTTTGCGTGCTCTACTCCAAACGTTTACCAGAACAAAGTGACCTTATGAAGAGGGTCGGGAAAACGGCCAGTAGGAAAAGCCAGACACGGGCACTGAGTGCGTGTCTGTTTCGCATAAATCCCCAATCAGATCAATAATCTTGGAGCCTTTTCATATCGATTATTGCTCGGTCTTCTGAAGCTGGCACATGAGTAGTCCATTCCAGCGACAGAAAAGTGAGGGGAAATCAGCACACTGGGGTTGTGTTGTGCTCACCTCATGATGCAGCTTTACTTGAAATAGTTAAACGCCCATTTATGAATGAAAACATATCAAAATATAAAATACTTTTATTTTGTACTGGTTCATTACGATCACACAACACTTAAAAAACAACAACAATACATAACAAGAATGAGAGGGAATCGACTATACTTATATTATCGTCTCCTTCAATCGTTCTATTCCAGGACAGGTACCATGGAAAGTATCATTATGTAACAAAGAGACAGAAAAACAGATAGATAGATAGATAGATAGATAGATAGATAGATAGATAGATAGATAGATAGATAGATAGATAGATAGATAGATAGACAGATAGGTAGACAGATAGAGCGAGAGATAAAGAGAGAGAGAGAGAGAGAGAGAGAGAGAGAGAGAGTGAGATCATAGAGAGAAATATAGAAAGCGAGAGAGAGGGAAAGAAGGGGATGGAGCAATAAGAGATTGGAGTGGGGTGAGGTATAAAGAGAGAAAAAGATGGAGTAAGGATGAACATCTCTGACAAATAGTGGGATCGAGGGTAGACATTAAGAGGGAAAAAGGGAAGAGAAAGATAGAGAATGGAGGAAAAAGAGGAGGAGGAGGAAGAAGAGGAGGCGTAGGAGTAAAAGGTTGAACTGAAGGAAGAAAGACAGGAGAATGGAGAAGGATCATACACTTTAGCTTTTCCAAGTGCAAAGTCTGTCTTTTCCACAGGGGGAATAGGTACGCACCAATGGCACAACTTTACGAGCACATAAACTCACTTCGTCTACTAAAGTACACTCTTTCTAGAAGCACAGGATTCAGAATGACAAATTATAATTATTGGTCTGGGGAGAAGAAACTTCCCACGCATTATTTTAAAAGATGAGTTTTACTGATTCCACTCTTGCCTTCTAAAAAAATATTGACAAATTTTAGCACTTCACACAAGCTCATTTCGTATCGATGTGTAAGCATGTGCGTGCGATAAGCAAGTAGATGTGCGTGAGTGTGTGTGTGTGTGTGTGTGTGTGTGTGTGTGTGTGTGTGTGTGTGTGTGTGCGTGTGTGTGTGCGCGCGCACGCACGCGCGCGTGAATATTGTTCGTACATGCATTTATGTAAAGCGCCTAGAGCTGTGTTCACACAGGAGTAGGCACTATAGAAATGATCTACATTATTATTATTATTATTATTATTATTATTATTATTATTATCATTATTATTATTATTTTTATCATTATTATTATTTTTATCATTATTATTAACTCTCATGCATGTCTGACTCATTCAAATGATACTGCTAATTTACCAGATTTGATGTTGTTTTGATACATAAAATATATCTGTGGACCTTTGTTACTTCTGATCACTTGAAAATGTCTAGAACAGTAATTAAAATATTATAACTGTGGTTTACTTTTGTTTTCACTGGTATTTTTATGTCATTGTGAAATAGGAAAACAATGTGTGCCCCAAGTATAATTAAAACCTGATGTTGTTAAAACTTGAACGCAGATCTGAAATCAGTGACTCAACATTACAGTAGATCTCGGTGACACGGAACTAAAAAGCACAACAAAACCCACTACGTGTATAATGTATCGGGGGACAGAACAAAGTTGACATTTTTTTACCACTTAAAATGTGAATGCATATTTTCCAGCGGGAAACAATATTATGTCCTTTATCAACCAACTTAGACCACCATACAATCATTATACCATGATATGTTAGTCTTCGTTTTAATAATATTCATACCTCTCGAGCTGAATAGCTGTCGCCAGGAAGCTTTTTGCGAAGTTACGTTTAGGAATAATTGGACGCTTACTATTTTCCCTTTTGTTTGTGAAAAATTTAAACATTGATTAGACTTTTAAAAAGACAATTAATTAACTGACGTGGTAAGAATCGTTAAATCTTTATTTCAACAATTCTAATATACTTTGAGGGCTCCGTAATCTTTGGCGAAGTTGCAGGAAACCTTACACGTGTCCAGTTTCAGAGTAATGTGAATGTTTCGTTTCATTATTAAATTACTGCTCACACATGCGGTTACAGGTGAAAGACTCAAAAACTGGATAGAAAGAAATCAGGTGAAAATGGCAGAGACTCATTTAAATCGTTTATTTATATAAAAACAGTCTTACCTGTGGCTTCCATCGAGAATACAAGACTTCACAGCAACTGAGTAAGGCGGTAGCGGAAGCTGCCGTTGCGCAGGGGTCTCGAGAATCGTTGCGTCTCGTGACACTTGGAAGCGGGGGCTAGTACTCATTCATACTCACAATGGAATCGATTCGAAATGAGTTGAATCAAGAAGAGCCCACATATCGTCCAATGATTTATTAGCTTCAATTTACGTGAAAAGTAATTAAATCCAAAACAGAAAACATACAGAGTTCACTGAACAGAATGTTTGTGAAATATAATCGTATAATTTACATTCAAACAGCTTCAAAACACAATTCCCTAATCAGTATCGATAAATATTTAAAATATATTTTGCTCTGGCACGAATGAGGACAGGGGTAGACGAGATTAAAATTAAAATAGTCGCAGTTACTGTTATGTGTAGAGAGGCAACGAGAAAGGGTTTCTTTAAAAAAATTTTTATTTATGAGGCGACTCGCCGTAGAAGTATTCTACATAATAGCTATAAAACGTTTAAAAGATCATGTCTATGTCTACGTTTCTGTCTCTCAGCTTCAATCACGCTACAAACAAGAGGGAGTGGAAGAAGGGAAGAAAGGGAAAGAAGAAAAAAAAGAAAGTTGTATCCAAAGGAGCCAAAGCTTTGTTCTAAATTTGTTTACGCCTTTAACTGTGACAGATGAGACAAGGATAAGTATTATTGAAATCGACACCTGATGACATGATATGCCTATGGTCTTCCAAATGTTATTAACCTAAAGACTGGAAACAGAATTATATTTGTGAGGCAGCGTGGGGAAATCAGGCGCTCGCCAAAATAATGATATGAAAGAAACTGGTATTTTTCTGACAGTTTGGCAACTTTTATCGATTTTTTTGTGTGTGTTTTTTTTGTTTTTTTTTGGCGTAACGTCATTGTTGTCAATTAAGAACGCATTTATGTGTGGATTTTACTAAAAACAAAAGTTGATTAAAGGCACAAATGATTTAAGTTTTCAGTTTCCACGGACTATCAAGGTATGGAAATAACGAGACTTTGCCGGCCATTTTTTCACTAATTCTACCTTTGGAACACAGGCAACCCCACCTTCTTCAATCTCAAATATCTCGACTTTTATTCTAGATGGATGGGTATTTTTCTCACCGATGACTACACAACGGAACAAGCATTAAGGTGAGACCAATAACTCCACATGCCCCAAAACTGACTAGCGCCTGATTCCACCACTGTGTGACATATTTTTAAAAATTGATAACACTAAAACTCAAACACAATCCCAAACCCTAAGTCACACCCTTACGTTTAACCTAAGCCTAAGCCTAAGCCTGAGCCAAAGCCTAAACTTAAGCTTGACCTAAGCCTAAGCTTAAGCCTAAGCTGAGCCTAAGCCTAGGTTTAAGGCCTATGTCTATGCCTACACCTACACATAAGCTTAAGCCAAAGCCTAAACTTAAGCTACGCCTAAGCCTAAGCCTACGCCTACACCTAAGCCTGCGCCTACTCCTAAGTCTAAGCCAAAACCTAAACTTAAGCTAAGCCTAGGCCTAAGCCTTAGCCTAAGCCTAAATATTTTTAAAAGACTGTTGGTGTTTGGAGGAGCCCTATTGTGTAGGTTAGGGTTAACCCAGGAAAATGCCTGTATCGATACTTCTAAAATTTCATGATAGTGAAAAAAGATCCTGCACTAGATGATGCTCCACTCCTCTCAGTCTCAAAATCACGGTGGCGCCACCTGACAATTTGCCCGAACTTTGGAAACAGATGACTATGAAAGTATTGGGAAAATATCAGGGTAGTATCGACTTCACACTCGTATCGCAGTTACGTTCTATGAAAATGTAATGTCTAAGTTTTATTTTAAACAAAAGATGAATGTATCTATAGAAAGAGCTGCTAAAGAAAACGCATGAAAAATATAGTTGTATATTGTTCAGTGTCTTTTGGGGGAAAGTCTATGTTTTTGAGGTCCTCAATGACTCTGAAGAGAGGAGAAAGGTCTAATGAGTTTGTCGTTGTTTTTTAATTTGTTTATTGTGCCTGTAAGTGTAGATGTTCTAAAATGCAGTCGTGTGCTATGTGTTCTGGTGTTGAGCTCTGTTTTATCGTGTACTGCAGGGAGAGTTATGAACTTCTGAATGTTAGTGATAGTATGTTTGCTTTAGCCTGGAGGCCCCCAGAGCAAGATGGAGTCTCTGGATTTGTACTGGGTCTAGAATTTTTAGGATGTGGGTTTTGCCGATCCATATACTTGACAGCCGTAGACAAGCCTGGATCGGACAAGGGAAGAGAATGTGTTTTGAGTCCCTCCCCCCACTCAAGATGAGATTGAACTTTTATAGCGGAGGCCTTCATGAAATGAAGGTAAGTTTTTGGCAAATATTATTCCGAGGAAACGAACCTGGTACTGGTCAGGAATCCTTTCCCAGTATAGTGACAAATCCAGCTACAGTACAAGTCGGCCTGGTTGGCAGAAGTGTACTGCAACCGTCTTTGACAGGGAAAACTTAAAACTTTTCAAATTTGTACAACTCCGTTTGCAGCTACGTTTCCATTATATTATTTTATTTTAGTTGAGGACTTTTGGAACGACAGCATAACAGAAAGTCGTCAACGTACAACGAGTTGTCTATGTTATTTTGGAGGGTCTGAACTATTGAAAAGATCTTTATTTCGAAGAGGAGATGAGAAATGATGCTTCCCCCTTTAA